TATATTTTACATGGCTACTAGAATTCATGTCTACCTTACGTTATACTAGGTTAAATGACTTTCAACTACTTTTGTATTAATCACTCATACTAATAATACATGGCACTACAGTATGCATACACACATACTCTCCATTGATACATCACTTGCAAAGTCATAAAAAATAAAAACAGTTCACAACTCTAACCAACCCTTGTTAAACTGTAACAAATCACCACACTTACTATCACTCATGTCCAAAAACCACTTACAATTGAATGCAAGTTGTACTGAAGTCCACTAAGTGTCCTCTGATCTCAGGGTCAATACAAAGGTCTGTGGCAATTGTCTTGAAGGGATACCCTGAGAAAAGTCCATTTGGAATAACACAAAGGGATACTCTAACAAAAAGATACCCTGGTAAACACCTAGAGTGGAACCACTTGTGGGATGATAAAAGCTGGTCTTCTTGTGTTCATCATGCACCATAAGACGCAAACACATACCATATCCATGAAAAACATATTTATAATGTTTATAACGCTCATAATATAGACCACATGGTTACATACTTATGAAAATAATATGGACATTTTCAAATAACTCTCACACTTTCTACACATCACATTTATGTTCAACACTAACAACTGTTCATTAGCACAAAATTTAACGATTCTTACTTTCCTCAACTATTGTTTATTGTTTATATTTACTACTTTTTACTAAGATTAGTTTATAGTATTTTTCTCAGAAAAAATACTAAAAATCACTCAGGAAGAATATTTATCTAATAAAAAATTAAACTGATTATTTTTGAATTTGAAAAGTGTAAGGAGAAGCTTTGAGATAAAAGTAGTAATAATAAAGGTTTTATTATAGTGCCAATTTTTATTTGATGTTAAAATAACTTATACAATAAAAATTAAAAAGTAACTTAATTATGAATATAAAAATAACAAAATAAAAACTTACTTCTAATGTACATTGCTTTTTTTTATAGAATTTGTGAAATCTTTAACTTGGTTTTTTAATCAACTACCATTTTTAGTTTATGATGTGAAAGTTAAACATTTGTTTTCAATGTTTAACTATCAAAATCATTTCTAACAGTATGAAGTTGAAGATCAACCCAAAGAAGTAAAACAATATTAAACATTTTACAGTATTTTCTAAAATAGTTTTATTTAAAGTAATAAAAACTATTTCACTAAAAAAGTGAATAACTTTATTAAGTTATACTTTTAAAATGTACTCTTAGGTGCTTAATAAATAGAAGGGAATATTTATTAATATTTGGCAACTTTTTCCACATAACCCATGTTTATAAAGACCTTACCCTTCATTTATTAATTTTTACTTGTTATCAACAAAAAACAACATCCTAAAACTTTATAAAATTGTTATTTATATTTATTAAAGTTAGATTTTTATTACTAAAAATAATTAAATATTAAAATCAAATAAACATATACTGCTATGTAGTTCCTATGTGCTATAAGAATTGAATTATTTTTATTTAGGGATGACCCTTTGATTGGTAATGAAGTGTTGTGAAATGGAGTTCAAACAAATGGAAAAATTAGATTTGGCAACAAAAAAATGGCATCATTTGTTTTTACCATTTGTTTCTAATTTAGGTTATGTCATAATTTTGTAATAATTTATTTAATAAAGTATTTTTAAAAATTCAGTTTTAACAAATGTAAATACTGGCTACCATTATAAGTTACCCTTAAATAACAATATTTTCTAAACTACATACAAAAGTAATTTAAAAAGTTAATGCTTAGCAAAGTCAAGTTATGATAAAAATAAATAACATTAGGCATGTTTAATCAATGTCAATAAATTGTTTTTCTAGAAGCAAACTTAGCTCATAGTTTGTAAATCTTGATTATGTTTTGAAATATTATTTTCTAAGCCAAGTTGGAACATTATAATTGACTTTCAATTAAATAGTGCAATTTTTTAATCAATCTTAATGAAATATATTTTATTAGGTTTAAATAATTCTGTCTTTTGTGTTGTTGATTGCCTCTTTTTGAGGTAAAAATAAATATTTTGTTACTCACCAGTATACATAGTTTAGTACATAGTGATAGTGGGTTGTAACCACAACTAATGTAGTGACTTTCATAGTTTTGGGGAAGTAAATTCAAATTTAATAAAAAAAAAAAAAAATTAACAAAAAATAGTTGAGCAAACATATATTGAAAGCTTTCTTAGCATTTATAATTTGCAATTTGAGAATTTTTAGGCATTTAGTTTAGGACACCACAGATGGTTGCCAAAATTTTTCATTATGATTAATAATTCTGTTCTAAATATATACCACGCAACCTTTGAATCATTTCTTAGATATTAATCAATATACTTCTGAAATAGTTGATAGATGGTTACATTTCAAGGTTGTTTACAAATTGTAATACTACTAATATTAAGTAAACACCTAAGGAAAATGATTAAAATAATTATGTTTGTAAAAAAAAGTAATATTTATGATAATAAACATAAAAATCACAACATGAAAAAATAATAATAAACATTACTACTAATAATAATGATTATATTAATGATAATAAAAATAATAATGATAAAAACAATGATAAGTTGCTTTCATAAACAAAATAGAAAATAAAGATATTATTTTTATAAATACAATAGAAAAATTCTAACACATTATTTTTTGAGACTTAATAAGCATGCAAGCCAAGGCTTTTCCACAATAGATTTTTTAAGATATATTTGACTATATAATTTCTATACAAAACAATCAAATTATGTTTATAACATACAATATATATTATAAACATAATTTGATTGTATATGATATATACTATAACTTGTTATATATGATATATACCATGCAGATACCATGACATGGCCGACTTATAAGTTAGCAACTTATTTTTTTGTTTAATTTTTTTTTTGTAAATTGATTTTTTTACAACAAATAATAAATGTAATAATAATATAAGAAATAATAACTTATAAATAAAGGGGGAATCCACAAAGTTCTCTAAGCAGTATCTTTCTAACAAAAAAAAATAACGAGGGAATGAATAAGACTTATTCATTCCCTCTTAGACTTATTCATTCCCTCTGAATTGCTGAAATTATTATTTCTTATATTAATATTACTATTATTATTTGTTGAAAAAAAATAAATCAATTGAAATAATAAATACATTTAGTATAACAATGTATATAACACTTTTAGTTTAATAATAAGTTACTGATTAATAAAAATGGTGACACTTATAAATAAATTTAACCAGTGATTAATATTTTTTAAATTTTATAATGTTTTGTTAAGCTTTAACTTTATATAAGTATTTGCACTGTTAGTTATTTCCTTGAATATAGTGCTTTTCATAATTTATTTGGTTTGATTTAACTCGGCTGTTTGTTTATAATTTGCGCCTTGACTATCCAAAAATTCACGCAACGTTAACTGACGTAATTAATAAAGTTCGCATAATTAAAAAACACATCCTGAGGCATACTATCTTCTGCTTACCATAAAAGTAAGCAGTTTTGGTACCTCATTTCTGTTTTTGATTTCCGTAAGTGGGTGGTAAGAGGGGTACGAACAAGTTAAATTTTATTAGGTTAGTTTAGTAATTATTTATGTTATATGTATAATATATATATATATATATATATATATATATATATATATATATATATATATATATATATATATATATATATGTATGTATATATATATATATATATATATATATATATATATATATATATATATATATTATACATATGTTATAGGTATAATATATATATATATATATATATATATATATATATATATATATAAATATATATATATATATATATATATATATATATACATATATATATATATATATATATATATATATATATATATATATATATATATATATATATATATATAAATATATATATATATATATATATATATACATATATATATATATATATATATATATATATATATATATATATATATATATATATATATATATAAATATATATATATATATATATATAAATATATATATATATATATATATATATATATATATATATATATATATATATATATATAATAATAAATATAAAGAAGCTTTTTTTTCAGAATTTTAAGCCGTGTTTTATTGTAATGAAATAAAGGGATAAAATTTATTACGGAGATTATCTTATGCGTAGTAAATAATTTTTTTTATGAAATAAAACGTTATTGCATTATTTGTAGTTTATATTCAATTTTTTTTGTTCACGTTATTTAAAATGATTAAAATTAAAAAAAAAAAAGTATGTGTACAAGTTTAAATACTGTATTACCGTCTTTTATTGGTTAACTTTTGTAATTTTTTTTTAGACAAGTAAAAAAATGGCTGAAACAATGTTGGATGAATTACATAATTATTGCGAATGGTATGAATGGAGTAACTATTTTAAATGTGTAACTAAAGACATGTTTAATTTAATGATTCATTGATACAGAAAACTTAGTGAGATCAATAATTTTGCATTGAAGGAAACGACAAGACAAGCTCTTTCTTATCAAACCCTGCAATAATAGTCATACCCTGCAAGCCATACACGAATTGGTTTGTTTTTATTTTTTAAATAAAAAAAAATATATTATAATATGTGTTACAATTACAATTTTGGATACATTAAAAAAAAAGTTTCCGGAATATTATAATGTGTAATTTTCTGAATTTTTTGTCTTTTGGTTTTCAGGAGACGTTTTCGAATGGTTAAAAGAAAAGAATACACCATATGGTAATTAGTATTCAAGCTATCAATCAGAGTGGTTAGACAAAGTGAATGAAAAAATTAAAGAAAAACAATCACAGTTTCAAAATCATCAGAAAAAGACTCTTTGAGAAATTAGATATGAACGAAGAATTGTTTCTTTCAAAAAACGAGCGTTAAATATGAGCGAATCCAGAAAACGACAGTTCGGGGAATCAGATATGAATGATGAATTGTTTTTTTCAGAAAAAATGATCATTAAATTATAGTGAATACGAACCCATGTTAGAGGAACACGACCCCCTTTGAATAGACGACCTATTATAAAGGTACTACCAAAATGTAACACTTTTTTAGAGTTTTTTGTTGAATGGAAATTTAATGAATTTATGGATCACTGTTTCGATTTCTATCATATTCGACTATTTTTATGATAGTTATCAAAGAAATAACTATATATTTATTCAACGTTGTCAGTAATGTAAAAACAAAAAGCATTTAATTTTATGGTCAAGAGGCTCAAAAAATGCGAATTTTAAAAATTTTTCTTTTTTTTCTAACTTTTAAAAGAATAATAAAATGGGATGAAGCCATTTATAAAAACGCTTTAAATATGAAATCTTACGACGAAATGTCTACTTTTAATAAATCATTACGCCTACCAGCAGCTCAAATATTGTGTTTAACCAAGCTCAACATCGATAAACTTACTTGGCTTTTAGGTGATGTTTTACGTAAACATGGTGCTGAAAGTTTTTTAATAGCAACAGATACTGATTTGTATTGCAATTTTAATGTGAGAAAAAAAGGAGAAAAACAGGGGAGATAATATACCTTTTAGAGAAAAAATGGATTAATGGTTGTTTTATTCCTCTTTTGATCCTTGGATGGATTATTCTAATTATCCTAAAGAACATCCTTATTTCTCTAAAGTAAATGCTAATAAAACGGATCATTTTTAAAACGAAATTCCGCCACCCTATTTTACTACACAAGCCAAAGCCATGGGACCAAAATTCTACAGTGTGGATACTGTAAATCAAATAAATGAAAAAAATCAAAAAAATAGAGCTAAAGGTGTTCCTAATTACTAATTTGCCATTTGAAAACTACTTCAGCGGATTAACAATCTTTAGAACTGAAAAAATGTTTAGAAATATGGAAGATCAATTAAAGAGTGTCATACAACCTATAAAACAAAACAGAATGAATTTACAATTTAAAAAAGTCACTATTAGTGAACAAAATTACGTTTTCTAGAAAAATATACACACAAAAACTTTGTGTTTGATGATAGCCTGTTGACAGATATACGCGATCATCATCGCTTAAAACCCATTGTAGAAGCCAATTTAAAAGTGTTACCTGAAATTGAACAGTTTTGCAGCAATGAACATTTGGAGACCTTGTTAGGAATTGAAAAAAAAAAGAAATAATGAATCTTATCGTTATAAAGCAATGGTTCCGTTTAATAAAAATGACTTAATACCGTTATTCTCTCATTTAAAAAAAATTAAAGAAACATACAAAAATAATTAAAAAAAAAAGAGCCAAAACATCCATCTTTTAAAAAATAGTTTCGAAAAGTATTTAGAATACGAATTGATGGAGCATGGATTGCTATCTTGTTATGTCAAAAAAAAATCGACAGAAAATAAAACAATAATAAATTCAATTGTAAACTAGGAAGAGCTGATCAAAAAGTGATGCATTGGATCATATTATTGTTTTATATTAAAAAAAAATAATAATAAAATAAAAAAAAAAACTTAAATTCTGCTATGTAGGAGCTTTCAAAATCAAGCTATTAGTTACTATTGCAGCCAGT